GAACAAAACCTGGATACAAAAATGCCATGTACTTCAAATTCTCTAAACTGTTTCCTATTTACTATAACAGGAAGCTCAGCATCATTAACTTGCAAATTGTCTTTGTGGAGTGACAAATACATCTCTGTTAACCAATTTACCTATTAATTCCCAGGAAACTACATACTACAGCTTTAAAAAGTTTTTGTTTTGCTTTTTTCATCAAGCAGTTCAGCTCTTCTTTGCAGCCTTGAACTTAAGTGCATTAAAAATAATAGTAAAGGACTCCTGAAATGGCTGCTGGCTAAATTTGTTCATCTTCCAATACTTCCAAGTATAGGAGCCAATCCATTCTTAAGATACCATACCAGCTTTTTCTAGCTTCAGCAACAAAGCTGAAGAAAAGCATTTATGAAAGGGGGAGGGGAATCTGGGAGAGGAGCACATCAAAGTATGACCTTACCAATACATTGGGTTAAATATAAAAAAAAACAAAATTCAGAAACACAGACGACCGATTAGTATAGGCCTTGGCATCATCCATTCCATTTCTCATGAATTATTGTAAGATGTTTGCAAAAGAAAGACAATTTTTTTCCCATATAACAGACACGCTTCTGAGGCTGTCTGAGGTAATACAGCAGTAACACTGCTCAATCATCCTTTTGACAATTAGGAACACAGTTGTTAAGTGAATCTGGCTGCCCCATTGACTTTGCTTGTCAGAAGGTCGCAAAAGGTGATCACATGACCCCGGGACACTGCAACCATCATAAATATGAGTCAGTTGCCAAGCATCCAAATTTTGATGATGTGGCCATGCGGATGCTGCAAAGGTCATAAGTGTGAAAAACAGTCACTAGTCACTTTTTTGAGTGTCGTTGTAGTTTCAAATGGTCAGTAAACAAAAGACTATAAGTTGAGGACTACCTGTAAGTACAATACCATACTACTGGAGGTTTATTGTTCTTGCTTGTATCTAAGTTCATTGTTATTTTATTTTTTTTATGCTTTGTGTTCTCCCAGGACATTATCATTATCCTTCACCTCAGTGCCCAAATCTAAGAAGAGGAAAGGAAGTGATCACAGAGCCTGCAGAGTGGATAAGGGAGCCTGCAAGAGAACCAAGCCATTGAAAAGATCATTGCTCTGATAGCAGAAGCACCAAGGTTCAAACCCTGGCAACTGCAGTTAAAAATCCTGCATAGTAAGTTATTAGGAGGAAGGGGGTGGGGGAGAGAAGAACTGCATGCAAATGCAGCTGTCAAACCAACTGGACAGTTGTCAGTTCTGAAAAGCAGTGATGATGCTTCTCATGGAACATCCAGGGGGAAGGTCCACAGGGGGAAGGCTGCCAGAAATCAAGATGGCAGCTGCAATTGTGCAATCAAAGCCCCGCCTTTTCTTTAAATGTATAAGATCACATGCAAGCAACACATGGAAAAGTCACAAAAAAAGAGGCAAGGCTCCAATTACATGGTCATGCCTCCCATTTTGACTTTTATGACGTGCTTCCTGTGGAAACCTCTGATGCTTATGAGATAGACAGCATTAACAATTGGCACTGAGGTTCCAAATCTCTGCAGAAACTTAAATTTGAACTAATCTTATTATTTAAGCTATGTTCTTCTCACTCCATTTATAGAATTCATTTACTAATTATTAAGGAATATAATGGCCTAGTTTCTGCACAGCACCAAACCACAATTTTACTAACCATGATTTGTGAAGAAAAAAGTTGCCATAAGCAATGGTTTACAAACCACAATGCTTAGGATCCCCCTACATGCTAAGCCAAAATCAAGCAACTTCACTGTGAATATGGGAATTCAGTCAAGCTTTTCACACTAACAAGGGCTATTCACTTCCGTGTACGTACAAAGATGTTCTCAAAGGAAAGGAGAACTTCTAATAAAAGTTACTCTTGAAATAATACACAAAGGAAGAAATTAGTAGTCATATGAATATTAGTTTCATATGACTTACTTATGAAATAGCCTTTTAAATAGTTGTATAACTACCATAGCTAAGCAAAAACTAATAATGAGGTTATCTCCCATATGGGAATTTATTCAGATTGGCCTCAATAAGGGACCATTTGGCAGAATGGGGCTGTTAATATAAAAACCTGATGGAGAAACAAAATTTCTAAAATAAAAAGGTAAAGTTTTACAATCTTGAAAATAACTTTAAGGATGTTACGTTAGTATTTCTGGTAACTCTTAGACTTTTGCTGATTAATACTGAATGATGAATTTTTACACTTTGATAAAGGATGAGATATTGAAAGAAGAGATTTTTTAACTGAAATATTAGTGAAGGCATTAAATCACTGAAACGTTTTATACTTGGCTGGAGGGAGGGAGGAGTCAAATATATATATTATTGGTTTTCCAGTTTTACATTTGAGTATTTAGAAAGCAACGTGGTGATTGGGTAAATCAATAGTTCAATAACAAAATCTTTAGTACATATCTCAGGTGACATCATCAAATATTTCTTCTCTGTTTCCCTTAACATTTACTATAAAATTTATATATTTTTTCTTATTTCTTATTTTCTTTTTCACCTCCTATACTTCTTTGTCCTTACTTTCTTTTAGTTTGTATTAGTTATTTTACCTTTGTACTTATAAACATTAATAAAATTATTTAAAAAAAAAACTTTAAGGAGGTTACAAGTGACATTTTTTTTTCTAATTCCAATGTTTCTTTTATTAATTTATTTTTTATTTTTCCAAACTCTCCCCCATACATATACCGTGATATTTATCAGATATTAACATACATTCTTTTTACATTCTTATATATAAGATACTTTTAATGAAATAAATACATACACATGACTTTTGGTGTTGCTCACCCATTTCCCCTTTCACAAGTGACATTCAAACAGCTGATACCTGCACATGTCCTGGACTACAACTTCATTGGATTGTCAGGCTAACTGGGGAGAATAAGACTTTTAACCTGGAGGTGATCTGCTTGGAGTAAACCATTGTAGCTTGCTGCTCAAAGAGTATAAATTTGGAAAAAAAAATGACTGAACATGAAAAAAAAGGCACATGCTTTCAAAGGACTTCCTAAAATTTGCCTACGCATACCTGAGACATAGCAAAATATGATGCTGAATTAAAAGTGATGTATTTTACATTAGCAAACTACAAATCTGACCCTAATACAACTTAACAATCAGGAGACACAATACAGACCCTGACCTAAAGCAAAGGGGAAGAAAACAGCTTCAAAGCAGCCCATAATCCTCTTTTTGGTGTCCTTAACCTAACAATGCTTGTCTGGGGGGTTTCAATTACTATCCTCTGTCTTGTTGGTATTACCCCCTTGGAAGTCTGGAGGTGAATCCTTCTTAAAACTATTTAGCTACCCTATCTCAGAGGCCCTCCAATTCCCTTAACATGACTTACTTGAATAACATTGAATAAACAATCCCCACCCATCACCTACTTCTTTTGTCTACAGCTCCTATTCAGGTACTGACTGCAAAGCAGGTTAGCATGAAAAACTGGAGAGGTGGTTAGTTTGAACCAGATGCACTAGAATGACTTCCATCCTGCTGGAGGGAACAAAATCCACAGGTTCTGCAGCTACAGAGATTGGGTGTAATTCCAGAATCATCGCCAGGAGACACAGATCTGTGTGATCCAACCAGCCAGCCTGACCTTTCTCAGTTAGCTTACGCTCAGTCATTTTCCACTGCACTAAATCCAAACTGCACAATACCCTACCTTGCATATGTGTGTACATATGCACGCTGCAGCACAGTAATAAATCTTGGACCTCAATCTCTAACAAAACTGAGTAATATTTCAGGAGAGCTTGACGCTCCATAACTTTGATCAGAACAGCTTCAGTAAGATTCATAAAGAACAAAGTCAAGGATGCTTCTGTTTAGCTATTTCTACACCACAGCTGTTGCTGTCTTATGGATTGCTACCTTTAAAGTGCTGTCCTTTTAATACCAACAAGGAGGTGAAACAGGGTGGGTTTGCAGCCCTGCTCAGTTACTCCAATAATTCTGAGGACAGACTGTTGATTTTTAATGACCTTCATTCAAAAGTGAAACTTTAACACACTTGGATGTTCTCTGTACAACTACATAGATTGCCTCACAAAGGTGCCCCAAACACTACAGTTCTAAGTGTGTTCATCATCTTTAGTTCAGATAAGCTGATTTCCAGGACAAATTAATTAGCAAGAGAGAAGATTCCAAATATCCTCAACCCCACATAGTAAAAATTAATGATATAGCTCTTATCAATCCTCTCACGCCTACTCCCAAATAACATTTTCCAATCCAGCAAAACATTTAAGAGGTTACGATTTTGCAAGAAATTCACAAATGCTCCATACATTATTGTTGTTGGCGATAGCTAGAGTGGGGAAGTAAAAGTAGCAGGCATTTCAGGCAAGGAGTTTAAAAAAGGGGGGGCATGTTAGGTTCATGTGCAACACCGGCAATTTTTCAACTATACCTACTGTACATAAATGCTACCAACACAGGAACAAAAAAACATTTTTCTCCAGTTCTTTATTCAATTTAAGCCATATTTAAAAGAAAAAAATAGTTTAAACTGCATAAACCTATGATGTTTTCATTCATAGTTATCATATGAAAATATCAATTACTTTGCTATGTCTTCTACTGTTTCAAATCTAGTTTTTATTATTGCCATCAGGGCTAGAAACCCCACAACTTCCCATGAAATTCTATAGGCAATTAAGGACCCATATAACACTCTGCTTAAAAGATATAAGCAGTGCCTTGGTGGATCGGACCCCTGGCCCATCTAGTCCAGCAGTCTGTTCTCACAATGGCCAGCAACTGCAATATTAATAAATATCAATACATACAATGTTAACATCAATAAGAACGAAGTTATTTTTTAAAAAAATACATAAGAGACTTTGTCATATACTATGATCAATCTATTCATTCAGAATTACCAGCCCCCTATAAGATTTTCTTACAAATTCTCACTTTTGCCATTCTTGGGAGGGGGGGTTGTCCTTTTTTTGCCATCCCTCTTGTATGTTTTCTCCACCATATACTCATTTTTAGAAAGATCTTTCAGAGAAGATGAATAGAAACATAAAGCAATTCTTACCCTTTCTAGACTTCAAACTGCTCTTCAGAAAAGCACTTCATATCTGTAAAAGAGAAAGAAAAAATTCAAGTTATAATAATCAGGTGCAATGTATAAAAATTCTATTAACCAATTGGTCAAAAGTAGAAGAATTAAGAAAAACAACTTATTTTTCCTTAGTTTGAATGCTAGAAATCAAGCAATAAAAAAAAACTTAAATCATGTGCAAGAATGGGAAGAACCCAAGATACTACTATATAGTGCCCTGATTTATTTTCCCCATCCCATTTTAGAGCTCTGATTGAGGGTGAAATATTACATTCCACCTGTGCTTCAACTCACAAGGGTCAAGGAGAACAGAGGACAGAACAATAAAAATCAAGATATTTTTTTTAAAGATCTGTTATTTTAACTGTTAAAAAAGGAATTGGAAAACACCACGTTCCCATTCAAAGACATACTTAAACTTTTCAGTTTCCAAAATTGTACTTGGATGGACGTATGCTCAGTTGCAGTTTGCATTGAAACTACTAGTAACTAGGACATACTTGGGAGATAGCTTCACCAAAGACTTCTGTCCTAACTTTCTTCTGGGGCTGGAGTGGGTAACCTTCCCCAGCAGGTCCATACAGAGCCCTTCAGAAATCTTCTGCAAGATCACAAGTGGAATTTTTTTCCAGTACCAGCAGTCTACTGGGGGTGGGGTGGGGAATAAAAGGTTAAGACAGAAACAGTATTTTGCCTCACCCACCTAGGATTCTGGCCCCACTTTGAGGCAACAAAGACTGCTACAAAAAATGGTGCCTTCTAACATAGAAACTTGGCTTCATAAACCTAATAAGTTTTTACTTTTATAAAGGCATTGTTTAAAGTGTATCATACCGTTACAAATGTTTAAGCAAGGAAGTACCCCTCTCTGTTTCTTTTTTAGTGTAGTACTTTCTCTTGACATTGCTTTCCAAATGAAACATCTCATTTCAGGAACCAAAGACGGATCACTCACTACGCATAAGAAACCCTCTTGTACATTTATTTGCAATAATTTAGGATTTTCTAATCCTCCAACCCTGGACGTTTTCAAGAAGAGATTGGACAACCATTTGTCTGAAATGGTATTATAGGGTTTCCTCCCTGTGCAGGGGGTTGGACTAGAAGAGCTCCAAGGTCCCTTCCAACTCTGTTATTATTCCGATTCCTAAATGACCCTCTAATATAAAATATTGCATGTTGGGTGATGTTTTGTTAGCTCTTCCAGTAGATGTATCATTACACAATTCAATTAATTAAAAGGTTAGACAACCGTATTTCATTGACAAAAAGAAGCAAGAGAGTGAAATCCTGATAGATGCAGTTGGGTTAATTTTAGCATCTGTTTAGCTGCTTAGCAACACTTATCCTATGACCTTCTACGCACCACCTACTTTCACAAAGGATAATAGGTATAACCTGAGAGATCTAGCAACAATACCTAGTTTTCACTAGCTGTGGCCAGTATAAAAATCAATTTGCACTACAAGGGGGAAAAAAAACCAATGTAGTCAAACAATATATTACTTCAATAATGGAAAGGGGTTGCTGGAATGTAAGCTTATCAAGTAAGTGATGAAAACCCATAAAACTCCTGAAAAAAGTGGAGTTTTCAAGCACACCTTCTGCCCCAGGCCAAAACAAGTTTATCAAAGCCACTAGCTATGCAAGGAGGACTTTTGGTTTTTGCATCTAAAAGTTTTACTTCAAAGAATTCTTGGCCCTCAAAAGACAAAATAAGTGATGTAACAGTGCAAGGATGAAAGCATCTCCTGCTCAAGATTGGATAAGAATTAAGCTGCATTAAACTTTTTCAAACTACTTAATTTTTAGAGAGCAGAATCAAAAGTGTTCTTATCCTGAAATGTTGCTTTAAAATAGTAATCAATGAAATAGAAATTAAAATGTAATTTCATAGAAACTGCAAATAACTGAAATGGCCTGCATTATTTTCCTAAGCAAAATAATATGCAAAACTATATTTTTACTGCTTAAATACACTGTTGGAACTGAGACACAAACACAAACCATCAATTTCGGGCCAATTGCACTAAAACAAATAAAACCATTAGGTGCATCTTAAAGCAAAGGATGAAAAGAAATGTTGTGGTAACTTGATTGATTGGATGATGGAGCCATGCTGTTTCTGAGTTTCTAACACACAAAAGGGTCTTTTCTCTGAGGGATGTACATAACACCCGTTAATGCTAATGGGCATTATATACAGACATCAAGAGAAGACTATACTCTTAAGCCTTCAAACAGGAAAATAAAACAAATATGGCTTGTGTGATCATGAGTCATTAGGTACCTCCCTCTTTCTCTTTCATACATCTGTTCTCTGGGAAATGGGACCACTGTTAACTTTTTCCAAACTCCTCTAGAATGACTAAAAAAAATTCTAATGGCCACCTCACTGACAAAGCCTTTAAAACTGGTGGGGCAACTGCTATCAGAAGACTTTAATGAGTTACCAAAAATGTCATCAAGGATTCCAGACTGCTGGTTTTCAGATCAAAAGGAAGTAATTCTGGTCCTGTTTACCATATTCACACTGATGCAATTCACATTCACCAAAGAATGAACACCACTACATTCACTGCAGTTCAGCTGGTTTAAAAGGCAAAGCACAAGTAAGAATGTGAACCAAATTTGCCAGACTGTAGACCTACAGTACTTAGTGCAAAAAAAAAAAAAAAAGAAGTACCAGATTTACTGCAAATGCACTTTTAATCTCTTCCTTCCCTCCTCCAGTCACAATCGTTTTTTCCTCCTTCATAAAAATATTATTTTTTTTTTAGTAGCAGAGATGTAAGCAAAGACTTCGGGACAGGCCAGTGGGTTTTTAAACTTATGTCCTCCCCCCCCCCTTCCAAAAGTGTGTTCCCCTGGTACTGGTTCTGTGTGTTGCAAGAAGTTGCGTAGAATAGGAGCTGCTCATCAGGATTCTGGCCTCAAGTTCTATCTTCTAACTGAGCAACAAGGAGCCACAGAGGGCAAAATCTGCTGAGCCAGGAGAAATGCCTGCCCTCCCCTTTTATAACCTATCAAGGATGCATTGCAGAGCACTCCAGAGAGGGAGAGATAGTGTAACGCAGAGGTAAGAGGGGGTGGGAAAGAGAGCAAGCGCAGAAGCGAGGGAGGGGGGGGGGAGCCAGAACAAACTTATCAACGGACATGACAAAGTTCAATCCACCTCCACCATCAACAGGCTGCCGCTGCAGCAGCAGCAGCCGCCGCCGGCTCCTCCCTCCGCGAAGTTTTCAGCATCTCCAACTCGCCTCCTCTGCCCAGCAACGAGATGCGTTCGCCTGTTGCACAACTGCTGGAAACGGACGAGGAACTGATGAGAACCTCAGCAGCGGGAGCAGCGCAACCACGTTTCCCGCGGCTGCTCTTTCCTCCTCCCAGGCCGCCCCTCGTTAAGGGCAGGGAGCAGCAAAGTCAGCGGCGGCGGTGGTGGTGGTGGCGGCGGCGAAGTTAGACCCAGCGCCCCGAAGCAGCCAGCAGCAATTTGCAGACTCAACTTTGTTTGCTTTTACACTTGGAGGGAGCGAAGGGCGGGGGGGGGGAGGGAGGGTGCCGTAAGAGCACGAAGGATCAGACCGACCTTTCGCTTAAGCTCTCAAAAGAAAGGAGGAACTGTATCCCTGTCTGTCAAGTCAGAAGTGGAGAGGGGGGGGGGGGAA